CGGTTATCGAACTGTCCAAGTCCATGTACAAGAGGCAATTTCATGAGTGCCCAGACACGGCTACTTTCTGATAGGACATCGCTGCTTTCTGACAAACTTGTCTGTTCTACAAACACCTGCTGCACTACGCCAGTGAAAGCCTCTTTTCCACGAAAAAAAAAAATAATTGGCCAGTGCACCGGTGCGAAGACGCGTTTTCCGCATAGTCCCCCGCAGGTTTTTGTCGCTACCGGCACTATTTTTACCGACAGATTTTTCTAGCTAAAAGAATTGAGAATGGCTACAACGACTGTGAGAAAACATCCTCTTAAAATTTCAGCCTCCTAGCCCAGTTAGCAACTTACCCATCAAAAATTTTCATGGACCAGAATGTGGGGACCGTGTACATCTGGGGATGAATCTGAAGTCATCAAGTTCTTCGTGAAGAGAGGAAATCCCTTTAAAATTTCAGCTTCCTAGCTTTTCTGGTTCTTGAGTTAGCAGCATATCCTTCAAAAACTTTGACGGGCCTGTACTTGAGAACCACGTGGGTAAGGGAACTCATTCTGGGGATGAAGGCCAGTACGTGTACGAAGATTAAGTCCCCAAAGTTCCAGCCCTAAAGCTTTTGTAGGCCTCGAGATGGACAAATCAGCACAGATGAACATACAGACACCCCCTCGGCAATATGCGTTTTTGCACTGCACAGACGTAAAAAACGCATAAAAACTGATACGATACGATGCAAATGGTGATGACACGATGAAGGTTATAAAGAATGTGTAACGACCTTGAAAGGTCAAACAACACACTTTTCCTCCACTCCGCCCCACCATCCAGCAGTGCAGCACAATAATATGCCTTCATTATTAGTGCACGTCGTATGCCAACAGTCAGTGCGCCTCGTCGCCGGCCGCGACCTTGTTGCTACCAACACAACACTCTCAAGCGTCACACAAATAATACGCAATATAATCCACCGCAATCGTGAGAGAGCAGTGACACAGTGTTTGCCGTAATTAGCAGTGCTTGAGGCGAACCAGCATCTGTACATCGCAGGAGGAAGCAGGTCTGCCCCGACAATATGCTGGCTCGAATGTTAAGGCTAAATGCGAATGGGTGAAACCACTGCTCGTTTGACAGAATTAGAACTATTCCCCTTACTACCTCACTTTCCCTCCCCTCCCCCAGAGAAATCATTTATTAGAAAGCAAAAAAGTTTGCAGCGGTGGCAAAAAGATTATAATCGGAGGATAAAAGACGCAACAAGTGAATGAACTGGTACAGTACCTTCTGGGCTGGGCTGCTCATAGTATGCACCACCTGCTGGTACTCCTGCTGAGCCTGCTCCAGTTTCGGCAACTTTTGCAGCAGGATGTTCAGAATAACCAGAGCATTCTGTGGTGGAGGATGACTGAGCATCGACACATCTATTAGGCCTTTACTTACTGCGATACGGATCTGAAACGCAAGCGCACTAGAAAACAGATAGTCGCTGATAACCATATTCCAACGGCTACTGATAACCCCACTCACATCGCGACCCGAACAGACCGCACACGCTTCAAATAGCGAGAGAAGAATCCTTTGCGCAGTGTTAGACCCCCCACCAAAACTTTTAAAATCTGCCTGGGTAGTCAAGCTACTGCACACTGTTTCAAAACAAATTTCGAGATCGATCGCCTACAGCTGTTAGTAAAAGCATCACCACTCGTGACCGAGTGAGTGCAAAATCGACAACGCTTTGAACTCATCACAAATAACCGTGAAAGCTGTGATAAGTGAATAAAGGTGAGAAAACAAAACACTGCCAAATAATTGTAGAATATAGAAACAATGATAAATGAGTGGCAAAAAACCAGTAAGTGAAAATACGCCACATCTACTTCCAATGTCCGAAAGCTGAAATTTTTAACTGCACTATTAAGACGCATGTTCCCAAACCAAATCCGAAGGCAGCCAAGGCATCCTTGGCCCCCACTATTGTAAAATCAACTAGTTATATTGGAGCAACGATGTAAAAACATTGCTGAAAAAGTGCAGTAGGCAGGAGGGATTCGGGTAAAAACACTGTTTCAGTGGGCA